CTGTCCGTGACTGGTTCGGCCTTCTCTTTGGCTCTTCGCGTCTGGTATTTTGACGCAGGTATCGCCATCTCTATGGTGTTCAGGTGGCTTTGTTGACGGTGTCCCACCTGCGAGCTTCGTCTTGGAGACTGTATGACGTTTATTACGTCTTCTCGCGTTTTGTTTCCCCTCCGGCCTGCTCATGAGTCGCCTGAGCCATCCTGGTCCTTGTTCAGGGTGCCTTCTTCTCTTCCCCTCAGTTTGTGGTAGCCCCTTCGGTTTCAGTTTCCTCCTCTTTGGTACTGGTGGTAGCTTTATTGGTGTGCAGCCTTTCTCTGTCCTGGCGACGGTCGAGACGGCTGCTTTCCGGAGGGGTTCTTGGGGTATTGGTACTTGTTTGGTTTGGCCGGGGGGTGCGTCCTGTGTTGTCCAGTTGTGCTTTTTGCTGTTGCCGGCGTACCGTGCCTGGGGATGCGCTGTGGTTGATCCAGTTCCTTCGTTCCCTGTTTTCAGGGCTCGGGTCTCCCGGGTCGTCCGCAGTGTTTTCCTTCTTACTGCGGTCTGTCTTTGCGCCCGTGCTGTTCAGACGTTTGCAGCAATTGCTGCTGTGTTGGTGACGTCTCGGGCTCATTTCGGGCGCAGGGAATTGTGGGTCGCACAGGTTTTTGGCCGCCCATCCATATGTGCGTCTGTTCTTGGGCGTTCTTGTTGCCTTGGGTCGCAGGTTTGCGACCGGTTGTCTTGGCTTTGCGTTGCAGAGTTTGTGGCGGCCGCCTCCCGGGTTAGCCCTTTCTTTTCCTTCTCTTTGGGTATGAAGCTCCAGGGAGCCGTAGGGGCTCCCCACAGAAAACCAGCGTTGAATGTAATGAAACGCCATTTTCTGGGTGAGCCCCGGAGGCTCCCTGGAAACCCTCCCTCCCACCGGTCGGCGGTTTTTTCGCGTTGGTTGAAGCTTAGCTTCCGAACTGGAGCTTGGCAGCCGGCGCGGTAGGTCCGGGGCTCCCCCCTCCCCCTCCCGGGGTGGGGAGGGCTGTGCGGACGATCGGCGCGGCAGTAAAGTGTGATGTTTGCTTGTTTGCTTGTTTCCTTGGGATTGTAGGGAGTTTTCTACCTCTCTGTTCGGTTTTTGTTGTAGTTTCTTACCATGTGGGGTTTGTTTTGTTACGCCTACCTTTCTGGGTGCCTAACCCCGGTCGATGGCAGATAAGGAAAACCCCCAACCATATGGGGTTTTCCAGGGCCATTGCTCCCTGAAACCTCTCTGAAGGGGCCAGGTTCTGGCGCTGGTCCCTGGTAGGTCTGAACTCCTTAGCTAATGTCCCGGTCTAACATAACACACATTAGCCCGATAAGCTCCAGGGAGCCTCCGGGGCTCACCCAGAAAATGGCGTTTCATTACATTCAACGCTGGTTTTTTTGTTGCCTTCCCTAGTTTGTAATGGGCACTGAGTGTATTTACGCATCCTTACCGGATCTTGGTGACCTTTCTGCGTCTGCTCAGAATTCGGTTTATGGGCCCACCTCAACGAATGGCTGGTGTGGGCTTTCAGTCGGTTCGCTTGTCTGCTCGCCAGGGGTGTGGTTCTGTCCAGATCACCAGGTTCGGGTTCCTGATGAACTGGAGGCCGTTACATCTAGTTCCGTCTCGGGTTCGAACCTAGCTGGGTCTTGCTTAGGACTACTGGACTACTTCTTTGTCCAGTAGTCCTTCACTACTGGACCGCTTCTTTGTCTCTCCCTCCACAGGCGTAGCTGCGGCTGGGGTCCTGGGTCACTTGGCAGTTGCTCGAGCAGTTGTGCTGGAGTTTGAACTTCGCCGTGCTGGTCTATCCGCTGGGTCGGGGTTGACTTCGGCGTCTGTTTTGGTTCCTTCGGGGACCGCCGTGCTGGTCTATCCGCTGGGTCAGGGTTGACTTCGGCGTCTGTTTTGGTTCCTTCGGGGACTCCCCTTCCGAATCTCTTGCAATCATTACGTTCGTCCTCTGGGAACCTTGTGTTTGTGCTGCATTGCTGGCTTCCTCTTTGAGGTTTTCGGGGTTCCGTGCCTTGGTGCCTCTGTGAGCCTTCGCTCAATGTGTTCACGGATGTGTCATCTCTCGGCTGGGGCTTCGTGACCGGTGCTCACCAGGCTGGCTGGGAACGGTGGTGTCCATCCTTCCGTCTGGCTCACGGCATGGTTTAGGAGTTTTGTGGCTGGTTGCGCTTCGGAGGGTTTGGGTCACTCGGGGCTCTACCATCTGGCTCCATTCGGACTGTTCTCGGTGGTTCCTTGCCAGAACCACGGGGGGTTCTCTTCGGTCCTTGCTCTTTCGGGTTGGTCCCTTCGAGTGGCTCGTCTGCTGGATTCTCGAAGTTTGGCTCTCTGTGCGTTTCATGTCCAGGGAATATCCTACGTCCTGGCGGTCGGCCTCTGTTCATTCCTCTGTTCACGAATTGGCCGGTCATCGCCACTTTTGTTGGCTCTGCTGGTTGTACGGATTCCTGGACATGGGCGTTTTCGTATCAGCGTGGTCTCGGCATCTCCCATTCTATGTGGCGCCCTTCCCCACCTGCGGGGCGTTCGTGGTGGATGCCTTTTCGGCAGGACTGGTTACCTGTATCTCTTCCCCCGGTTGAGCTGTACCTCTTTCCCCGGTTCAGGTTCTGGCTCGGTTGGATTCCTTCCCAAGGAGTGTAGTCCTCATGGTCCCTTGGTGGCCGGCCCAGCTTGTTTATAGATGTTGCTTGATCGGTGTCCGAACCAGGGGCATTTCCTGGGCTCTACCTCTTTCAGCAGGTCAAACCGGTCCAGTACGTGGCTGGTTCGGCCTTATCCTCGGCTCTTCGTGTCTGATCTTTTGACGCGGGTGTATCACCATCTCTGTGGTTATCAGGTGGCTTCGTTGATGGTGTCCCACCTGCGAGCTTCGTCTCGGTCACAGTATGATGTTTCCTGGCACTTCTATTCGACATTTTCTTGCTCTTCGTAGGTTGTCTTCTCTTTCATATCGGGTTGTCTTGTCCTTTCTTGGTTTTCTGGACCATTATTGATGCTTCTTCCTGTCGCCTCGTATCGTGCGGCACTGGAGAAGCCGCTCGAGCTTACATTCAGGGTGGATGTCACATCCGCCCCGTTCCATACGCTTTCTTGTCCTTTGTTTCACCTCCAGCCTGCTCATGCGCCGCCTGAGCTGTCCTGGTCCTTGATCAGGGTGTTCTCTTATCTTTCCTCTCCTCAGTTTGTGGTAGCCCCTTCGGTTCAAGATTGTTTTTCAAAGGTCCTATATTTGTTGGCGTTGGCCTCTAGGGGTCGGGTCGGGGAACTTCCGGCTCTCCTCCGGCGCAGGGGTTTCCTGCTCTCTTTAATTCTGGTGGTAGGTTTGTACATTTGCAGTCTTCTTCATCCTTTTTGGCGAAGGCCAAGGCGGCTGCTTTCCGAAGGAGCTATTGGGTTATTGATTCTTGGTTGGTTCGGCCGGAGGTGCATCATGTGTTGTGTCCGGTTGCAGCTCTTAGCAGTTACCTTCGTGCCGTGGCTGGGAATGTGCTTTGGGTTGATCCAGTTTCCCTGTTGTGTTCCCTGTTCCAAGGCTTGGGTCTCCCAGTTCAATAATCTACCAAACAACTTTGTAAGAACTGAACCCCCGGGACGTGTATACTCACGGGGACCTGGCAGAGGGACCAAAGGCAGACCCCCACCTGGTAGACAAACAAAAAGAAAAAGAAAACCCCGCAAGAGGACAGCGTACCCAGGCGGAACAGAGCCGGCTGCTATGATTGGTGAAAACTAGTTGCGCAGTACCCTTTGCCCCTACCAATGCAAACTGCCCCTTACCCTAAGGCGAACAAGGGAGACAGAACACCCTATCACACAAAGGGCGGCCGAAAATCAAACAGTAAACGACCTAGCAGAAGCAGGACCCAAGGAACTAGTGGAAGGTAACCCGAAGCCCAAAGGGCAGTACTTATAGGGCACCTAGGGAAGTTAACCCTAGGTGCATGCAGCCCGAGTACTGGAGACTTACTCCCGGCTCATGCACCACCTAGAAGACAGACACCACATTCTAGGTACAGTGCTGAAACAACCACTGGAGCCGGAGCACACAACTGGCTCTTTAGCTTTAGCTTTAGTTCTTTAGCATCAGCCAAAGAACTGATGGGTGGATAGCCAGCGTGAGAGGTCTGGGGCTCCCCCTGGAGGGTGGAGCTGTGCAGACAATGTCGCAGTGACGTGTGATGTCATACTAGTTTTCTCATTTTCTGTTGGGGAGTTCTATCCACTAGTTCAGCTTTTGGTAGCAATTTTAACTAGAATAGGGGTTTGTTTTGTGACGCTTACCTTTCTGGATGCTTGACCCGGTCTATGGCAGACATAGAATGCTTCCAACCACACAAGGGTTTCTATAGGCCATTGCTCCCACTTGCCTCTCTGATGGAGCCAGGTTCTGGCCATGGTCCCTGGTAGGCCCTAAGAACACCATACACATGACTGATGCCAAAGTCTGACATTAGCATACCAGCCTGAGATAGCTCCGTGAAGCCTCCGCGTCTCAACCAGAAAATGGCGTTTCATTACATTCAACGCTGGTTTTTTGAGCCTGCAGTTATTGGAAGGAGCCAGGTGTGGTCTGTTTTGTCTCGTTGGCTTTTTAGGTGGCTTTCCTTGTAGTCGCATATACAAAATAGATGCCAGTGCTCCCTGTGCTTTTGTGAGGGGGCCAGGTTCTGGCTTGAGGTCCCTAGCAGGCTAGAGACCTCTGCAACTTATGGCTCCTGCTAAGCAATACGCACATTGGAGATAATGCAGATGTTAGCTACAGGGAGCCACCAGAGCTTAACCAAATATTGGTATTTCATTACATTCAACGCTGGTTTTTACAATGTAATATGTATTTTTGTATTGCAAGATATGCTTGATATAGATACTTATTACTATTAAAACATTTCTTTGTTGTATAGTACAGTGTATGCATATATTGCATGTTACAGTCACTGGTTGTGGAGTCATATGTTGTATGTTTCAGGCATGTTATGTGTTTCAGATTTGATTCGGCACGTCTTTGCCAGCAAAGATGCAAGAAAACTATGGCAGTGCTAACTACAACACCTTCATACACCTATCCTGAGCAAGATGGCACCGAACCTGAGGGTGAGGCACTGTTACATCCACCATAATGATTTCTTCTTTAACCTTGCTCAGCCCAGAAGTATGACATTTATTTTGGTTCAGATTTTATTCTCAGCTTTAAAAAATGCTGAAAATAAATAGATTGCATTTCTGTGGGGAGCCCCATTGACTCCCTGAAGCTATTCGAACTGATATAGTGCTATATTAGTTGGGGTCAACAGTCACAGAGTCCTTTTGCCTACCGGGGACCACAAGCCAGAACCTGGCCCCCTCAGAGAGGTGCAGTGAGCAATAGCCTATGAAAACTTTACATATAAAGTACAGTACGTCATATTTGCCATCGACTTAGGAAGGCACCCAAAATGGCAGGTGAAACAAGGCCACATGCTGGTAAAAATTGTTACCTACGTCCTGAGTGGGAGCCGGCAGCCCACCACCCAGGTTCTTGAACTGATGTGCTGGTGGTTGGATGTCTCCTCTGGCCTCAAATTCCTATTCTGGATTTTTGTCCTATGGAGCTATTCCGGCTTGTGTTTTGTGTGGTGGCCAGGTGTCTCAGTGTACCGGAGCTGCATGTGCCTAGGGTTCCCCTCCCTAGGTTCTCTGTAAGTACTACCCTTGCATTTCAGGGTTATCTTCCCTTAGGCATTCAGGACTCATTCCCCGTTGAAGACTTTCATGCTTGAAGAGGTTCTCACCTAGTTGTGCTTGCGAGGGTTTAGCTTTGGCTCTTTGGGCCTGCCTCTCAACCGTCAATCAACTGGTGTACAGATTCTTGAGCCTACTGGGCTCTGTCAAATCTACATTTAAAACTGTCCAACATCTACATTCTTCCGAGTCGACTCTCGCCCTGTACAAAGTTGAAGGTTATTCGTTGCCCCAGCCTCAGGGAGATGATCATCTATACTGCTTCCGTCATGCTGCCTGTTGGGTTGTCGACACCTAAAATCCAGACTCTTGCAGGACTTTTTCCTGCTTGTGCTTCAGTTTACTCATCCCTTATCTAATTATCTTAGGAATCAGGCAGCAGCCTTGATCCTCCTTGCAATGGTCCTCCCTTGCCCCCCCTTTGCCTTTTTGACTCTGCCTTTTTGGCGTGGATGAGGGCTCTTGACCTCAAGGATTCATAATGGCACATCCCTATTCATTTGAGGTTCAGGAAGTGGTTGGGTTTTGTGGTGTGGTGACAGTCTTACCACTTTCATTGTCTTCCATCTGGCTTGAATCTGGCATCTCTCGCTTTCATGCACTTAACTTGGGTTGCCGTTGCCCATTTGCATCTGCTAGGTCTTCAGGTTTTGGCCTACCTCGACAACTGGTTGGTGTGGGCTCCCAGTCGGTCTGCTTGTCTGCTAGCCAGTGATCACCACTATGCTCCATTCAGACTGCTCCCCTGTGCTTCATTGTCTTAACCACGGGGGATCTCTTTGGTCCATGACTCTTTGTGACTTGAACTCTTCTGTTGAGTTCTCGGTTTAGCTCTTCGCATCTTTAACGTTCGAGGTGTGTCCAATGTCCGGGCACATGGCTTGTTTCATTTCCTTCATATTTCCATGTAGTGGAGAGTCAATGCCAATTCCTTCCTGTGGCTTTGCTAGATGCACTTGCGCCCGGAGGTGGGATCTCTTCACGTCTGCGTGGTTCTAGCGTCTCGCTGTTCCCCGAGTTCGAGGCCTTTGCAGTGAAGGCTTTTTGAAAGGACTGTACAGGTGGGGGTTTATGTACCTCTTCTCCCGGTCCAGCTGTTGCTCCAAGTTCTTGCTCAGTTGGAATCCTATTGTGGAAGAGTGATTCTCCTGGCTCCATTGGGGCCCAGCCCAGCCTTGGTTTCAGGCGATGCTTGCTCAAGTGTCCAAACCCGGACCTTTTTCCATTCCTCCACCTCTTTCAACAGGTGGGGCCGGTGAGGTACCTCACTGTTTGACTTACTCCTCTGTTCTTTGCGTCACTTTTGCTCTCTTATGCGTTATTTCACCTCCGGCCTGCTCATGCGCCGCCTGAGCCTTCTTAGTCCTTAGACTTGGTGCTCTCTTTTCTCTCTTCCCTTTCGGTTTGAGATTGCTTTGTGAAAGCCTTGTTTTCATTTCCTTTGGCCTCTGGGAGTTGGATAAGGGAGCTTCATGCTCTTCTCCGGCGCAGGGGGTTTTGTGAGTTTGGTTCTGGCAGTTGTTTTGTTCATTTGCAGCCCTCTTCTTCCTTTCAGGAGAATAATGAAACAACTGGCTACCAGAGAAGTTCGTTGGTTGTGGATGCTTGGTTGATTAGGCCAGTGGAGCATTATGTACTGTGTCCTGTGGCGACTTTATGCTGCAACCTGCAGGCCACTGGTTCTGTGATGGTGGATGTGCTCTGGCTTGATCTGGTTTCCCTGGTTCCCTGGTTCCCTGTTCCAGGGCTAGTATGTCTCAGGTTGTCCATGGTGTAATCAAGTCTAGCCAACCTGCAGTCTACCCTACCCATGATGTGAGAAAGTATACTGCTCTGGCTTCAGTCTTTGGAAATATGTCTATGGTCGACATTCGGGTGCTGGGGTTTCGGAGGTCAAACAGGGTCCTAGCTGCCAAGTATCTCATGAACGTTCCGGGCCCTCTTCGGCCTTGTGTTGAGCTGGGGTGTCTGTCGCGGCCGGATGTCTCTTCTTCATCTTGAGACCCTGGTACTGCCGCCTCTCGGGTAATTCCCTCTTTTACTTATCTGTCAGTAGTTAGCTTCAGGAGCTGACGGGGCTCCCCACAGAAAACCAGCATTGAATGTAATGAAATATCATTTTCTGGGCGAGCCCCAAAGGCTCCCTGACACCTCCCTCCCTCCCTCCCTCCCTCCCTCCAGTTGGCAGTTTTCATCATTCTAGAACTGAGGGGTGAGCAGCCGGTTTGCCTGAGCCAGCTAACCCTCCCCATTTAAGGGGGCACTAACAAGCGGGGGTGCTAGTTAGATGACGTGTTGCTTGTTGGTTTTAATTTGGGGGGGGGTAGGGGGTTATTTTTTCTCGGTTCGCTTGTTGTCTGTTTTGTTTTGCCTATCTTTCTGGGGTGCTCTTCCTGGTTAATGGTAAATATGACATACTTTAAACGTAAAGTGCTCACAGGCCATTGCTCCCTGCGCCTCTTTGAGGGGACCAGGTTCTGGCTCATGATTCCCGGTAGGCATAAAGAACTCCCGTGACTGTTGACCTCAACCTAATATTGTACATGTCAGTTTGGATAGCTTCAGGTAGCCTCAGGGACTTGCCCAGAAAATGGCATTTCATTACATTCAACGCTGGTTTTTTGACTGGCATCATCTTGTCCCTAATGATGTTGCCTTTTATCATTTGGCACTAGTGGAACTGGTACAGCTTGCATTTGGCATCAGTACTACCTAGGCATCAGTTCAGGAGCTGTTTTGTGTATTGTTTCACTTCCAACTCATGCACCCTCTGAGCCCTACTGGTCTCATGACCGTGTTCTCATCTTTCTTTCATCCTGTCAGTTTACAGTTCCCCTTTGGTCTGTTACTCTTTACAGCTACTAAGCTGATGTAATACAAAACTACCATGTGCCATTAGTTGCAGAGTTCTATTTGACCTACCAAGGACCATGAGCCAGAATGTGACCCCCCACTTGAGAGTCGCAGGAGCAGTGCCACATGTGATAAAATTTATATAAATCTATTCATGTCAGCCACCACTTATGACAGCACCCAGATATTCAACAAAATAAACCAGATCATTGCTTCCTTATGATCTGTCCCAGTTCCTCTGTCTCTATAGAATGGACCATTGATGCTGTCTCCTTCATGTGGCTTTTCTGGACATTTGTGTTCCAAGACACGGATCTCTGTGTCAGCCTGATCTCGGCATCTTGCTCTTTATCTATTTATGATAAACTATTCCTCGAATGGGAGGCCATCATCGTAGATTCATATAGGCTGTACTGATCGAGGTGAAAGTTCCTGTACCTCTTCCCCCCAGTTCGGCTTTCACTCCGGATCCTGGTGAATTTGGAGTCCTACTGGAAAAGGGTGATCTTTCTGGCTCTCTGGTGGGTGGTTCAGTCTTGGTTTCAGACGCTGCTTTCTCGGTGTCTGAACCCTACTATTTTCTGTGGTGGGTGGGTCTTTTAACTCCTTCTAGGTGTATTTTGAGGCTCCAGGGTCTTTCTGACTAGCAGACACTCCTTTATTTTTGCGTAGTGAAGTTTTGTTGTACCTTATAAAGAACTTGGGTAAGGTCAAATTTTCTACAGGCATTTTGAGCACCTGCAAACAATTGCCTGTGTTAAATGAGAGGAACACTAGGATTAAGACTGGCATCAGCAACTCGGTGCTCAAATTCTCTAATGGTGAGGGAGCATCTACATATGGCAGTTCTGAATCATGCACTGATATGTACATGAAAGCACTTATCACATTTGTAATTCAGACTCTGTCCAATGGCACCTATTATTTATATAACCTGTGTAAATATTCTTTATGCAATGAAATGACCATTTTCACATCTTTTTCAGAACCTGAAAGCGACCTGCCAGAATCATGTACACAACCTATGGATATTGGACACTGCCGAGCATCAATTCCAAATTGGTACTTTGACCCTGATCAAGGTCGTTGCATTGGCTTTTCATATGGAGGATGTGGAGGAAATGCCAACCGATTCCAGTCTGTTGAGCTTTGTGAGCGTCAGTGTGGCAGGTATCGCAACCAAGGTAAATATGTACTGCTCTTTACAGATGCTGAAAGATAAAGAAATGGAGTTATGGAAGGTGTTGTCATCAAAATTTTATAAAGTGATTAGCTTAACCCTTAAATGGCGCCTGACTATTTAGCATGTCACTCACAGGTGCATACCAAAAAAAAAAAAAATTATTTTTTCTTCTAAACCTGTTAATTTGTGTTCACTGATCATGGGAAAAATAATAAAAAATTGTAAGTGGCATATATTGCCCGCTATAGGGCGGGGAAGTCTGGCAAAAAACAGGCGCTGACTCAGCGTGCGTCCCAGACGGTCTGTTGCTCGCCAGCTGTCAGGCCGGAGTTGCCACAAAGAGATAATTACCTAATTATTTCAATGTCTTTGATTGATTTTTCGTAGTTTTCTGTGGGGAGCCCCTACGGCTTCCTAGAGCTTATCGGGCTAATGTATGTTATGTTAGACCGGGACATTAGTTATGGAGTTCAGACCTACCAGGGACCAGCGCTAGAACCTGGCCCCTTCAGAGAGGTTTCAGGGAGCAATGGCCCTGGAAAACCCCATATGGTTGGGGGTTTTCCATATCTGCCATCGACTGGGGTTAGGCACCCAGAAAGGTTGGCGTAACAAAACAAACCCCACATGGTAAGAAACTACAACAAAAAAACGAACAGAGGTAGAAAACTCCCTACAATCCCAAGGAAAACAATCAAACAATCAATTTACTGCCTCGCTGGTCGTCCGCGCAGCCCTCCCCTCCCCGGGAGGGGGAGGGGTGGGCCCCGGACCTCACCACGCCAGCTGCCTTCAGTTCGAAAGCTAGTGTCAACAGAGATAGACGCTTCTCTGGCCTCAAATTACTGGACAGTGTTTGCCTCGTGTGGCGTTCTCTGCTGTCTTTGTGTGGTGTGCGGTGGCCATGATTACTTCATCAGTGCCGGGGCTGCATGCACTTAGGGGCTTCCTTCCCTAAGCGCCCTGTGAGTACTGCCCCTGCGTGTCAGGGTTATCTTCTCTGGGGCGTTCGGGAACCATTCCCTTAGAGGTTCTTGCTGCTTGGCATTTACCTCGCCCTTGGGGCCAGCTGGGGCTTGGGGCCCTTGTTTGGCCCTGGGTAGGGATTGGTATTGTGCTGGTTAGGGCGTCAAGGTGTTGTGCGGCCTGCCACCTAAGCGGCGACCGGTTCCTGTTGCCTCTGGGGACGGTGTACTTTTGCGGGGTTTTTCTTTTTTTTTTTTTTTGCCTGGTGGAGGTTCTGCTTCGTGGGTCTATAGTTCTCCTGGTATTGTTTTGGTGGCCCTCTGCTAGGCCCCCATGCTTGTACACATCCCAGGGGTTTTCAGTATTATCATTTACCCCTTGTTTTGTTTGGGTTTCTTACCCGGTTAGCAACACCTTGTCTGGGTTTCCCATAGTTGCTAACCTACGGGCCCTGGAAACCCCTGACGGGGCTCGGGGACCCATAGATGCGTCTCCTGAGTTCCAACCTGCTTTGTGTGGGTTTGAAGGTTGCAGTGTGCCCTTGTCTCAGGGTGACAGTCACCTGTTTTGCCTCCATCATGCTGCCTGTTGGGTCAATGACACCTTTGACCCGGAGTCTTGCAAGTCATGTTCTCTGCTTGTGCTCCAGTTTTACTCTGAGGATGTTCCTGTTAGGGTACAGGCAGCATCAGTGTTGCATGTTAGGTTTAGGTTATTGCAACGCACTAGGTTGGTTTCCCACCTGGATGCCCCGAGGCTGCCCCGTTTTGGTTTTAGGGACCCTGACCTGGGGGTGTTAGTCGCTCTGGCTTTGGCTCCTGCCACGCCCCTGGTCTTTTCCCTTTGGTTCTTCCTGCACCTCCTCCCCCCTGTGTCCGGCTCCAAAACGTCTGGAGGTTTCGTCCTCGGCACAGGGTTTAGTTGGTAATGAGACTCGGGCTGCCTCAGGGGTTGCCCCATCCGGGTCGGGGACGGAGGCATTTGAGCTGGTTCCTCCTGCCGAGGCTTCTGGATCCCACCAGCAGACCCCCTTCTTGTCTGCCTTTCCCTTGGACTCTGCCTTTTCTTCAGGGGTAGAGGGTTTGAAGGATGGCTCTGCCCCAGGTCCCGACGTGGGAGATCCTGGGGTTGGGGAGGAGTCAACCTGGGGGCCTTGGGCCCCCCTGTGACCCCGCTTGGGTGCTTTTGCCTTCCTCGCGGGGCTTATTGTTGCAAGGGGAGGGGTTTTCTTACCCCCCTTCCCTGTATGAGTATGATTTGGGTTCGGCTCCTCCCCGGGTTTGGTTCCGGGCGCTTTTGGGTACCTCGGATCCGTGTTTCTAGAGGTTTTTTTAAGCTTCATCCAGAGGGCTTTTAAGCAGGTTTACCTGGGGGGTAAGTTTGAGCACCTTAATGCATGCTTGTTTGCTCCCGTCCTTTCTCGGGATGTTGGCCTTTTCCAGTTTCACGTGGAAGTTCCTCAGCTTTCGGCTTCGTTGGTTGCGGAGGAGTCGCGCGCCCGTGGGCATTTGGCTTCGGTCTTGCTTTTCTTTTCCCTTCTCGAGCTGTCTTCTGCTTGGCTTGAGGAGGATGTAGGAGCGTTGAGTGAAGAGCCTTCATCTGGGGCACTGACTTATGCAGCTAGGGCGTCGGCTGCACTGTTGAAGCTCTTTGCACCCATCCTGAAGGAAGCGGTGTCTCTGTTTTTTGCTTCTCGCCTTGTGTGCTGTCAGGCGGTGCTCGCCCTCTCTTTGGAATCCGCTTCGGCCCTGGCTCTTAGGTTTTCGTCTCCGTATTGTCCGTTGCTGTTTGCAGAGACTGCGGTCTCTCAGTTTCTGCATGCGGCTACGTCTAGTTGTCGTCCTATGGCGGACTTGTTGATTCTCTGAAGCTGTCGTTCTCGGCAGTTTCGGAGGGGTTGTGCCAGGGTTCCGGGTTCCACTGGTCGAGGTGGGCCATTGGTGCCAGTTTCTGAGCCATTGTTCCCTTCGGGGCCAGCGTTGTCTGGTCGGCGCAGTGATTGCCCTGTTCGACAGTTGGGTTCTCGTAAGGGGCGTCGGCCCTTTCACAGTTTGCCCCGTTGACGGGGCGATGGGGGGGAGGCTCGCTCTGTTTGCCCATGCTTGGTCCCACGATTTGTGGGCCTTTTCGGTTGTGTCATCCGGCCTGTGGTGGCGTTGGGCGACTCGTCCTCCTTTGGGGGGTTCGGGGCTAACAGAGCAGGTTTCTTCTCCTGCGCTTCGTCAAGTCGTCTTGGAGTAATTACCTAAGTGTAATTACCTAAGTGTAGTTACAGGATGAGAGCTACGCTCGTGGTGTCCCGTCTTCCCAGCACTCTTTGTCATATAACGCTTTGAAACTACTGACGGTCTTGGCCTCCACCACCTTCTCACTTAACTTGTTCCAACCGTCTACCACTCTATTTGCGAAGGTGAATTTTCTTATATTTCTTCGGCATCTGTGTTTAGCTAGTTTAAATCTATGACCTCTTGTTCTTGAAATTCCAGGTCTCAGGAAGTCTTCCCTGTCGATTTTATCAATTCCTGTTACTATTTTGTATGTAGTGATCATATCACCTCTTTTTCTTCTGTCTTCTAGTTTTGGCATATTTAATGCTTCTAACCTCTCCTCGTAGCTCTTGCCCTTCAGTTCTGGGAGCCACTTAGTAGCATGTCTTTGCACCTTTTCCAGTTTGTTGATGTGCTTCTTAAGATATGGGCACCACACAACAGCTGCATATTCTAGCTTTGGCCTAACAAAAGTCATGAACAATTTCTTTAGTATATCGCCATCCATGTATTTAAATGCAATTCTGAAGTTAGAAAGCATAGCATAGGCTCCTTGCACAATATTCTTTATGTGGTCCTCAGGTGATAGTTTTCTATCTAGAACCACTCCTAGATCTCTTTCTTTATCAGAATTCTTTAAAGATTTCTCACATAATATATAGGTTGTGTGGGGTCTATGTTCTCCTATTCCACATTCCATAACATGACATTTATTAACATTAAATTCCATTTGCCAAGTGGTGCTCCATATACTTATTTTGTCCAGGTCTTCTTGAAGGGCATGACAGTCATCTAAATTTCTTATCCTTCCTATTATCTTAGCATCATCAGCAAACATGTTCATATAATTCTGTATACCAACTGGTAGATCATTTATGTACACAATAAACATCACTGGTGCAAGAACTGAACCCTGTGGAACTCCACTTGTGACATTTCTCCATTCCGATACATTGCCTCTGATTACTGCCCTCATTTTTCTATCAGTCAGAAAATTTTTCATCCATGATAGAAGCTTACCTGTCACCCCTCCAATATTTTCCAGTTTCCAGAACAACCTCTTATGTGGAACTCTGTCGAAAGCCTTTTTTAGGTCCAGATAGATGCAGTCAACCCAACCATCTCTTTCCTGTAATATCTCTGTGGCTCGATCATAGAAACTGAGTAAATTCGATACACAGGATCTTCCAGATCGAAAACCATACTGTCTGTCTGATATTATATCATTTCTCTCTAGGTGTTCTACCCATTTAGTTTTGATTAGTTTTTCCAATACTTTCACTATTACACTTGTCAATGATACAGGTCTATAATTGAGGGGGTCTTCCCTGCTGCCACTTTTGTAGATTGGAACTATGTTAGCCTGTTTCCACCCGTCTGCTACGATTCCTGTACACAGGGATGCCTGAAAGATCAGGTGAAGTGGAATGCTGAGCTCAGATGCACATTCTCTCAGAACCCATGGTGAAACGCCATCTGGGCCAGCTGCTTTGTTCTTACCGAGCTCCTTGAGCATTTTTTCCACTTCGTCTCTAGACACCTCTATGTGTTCTATGTTGTTCTCTGGAATTCTTATTGTATCTGGTTCCCTAAAGATTTCATTTTGTACAAACACACTTTGGAACTTTTCGTTTAGTGTTTCACACATTTCCTTTTCATCTTCCGTGAATCTATTTCCCATTTTCAACCTCTGAATATTATCCTTTACCTGCAATTTGTTGTTTATGAATTTATAGAATAGACCTGGTTCTGTTTTACATTTGTCCGC